ATCACAGTGTGTTATAATGTTGTGTTATCACAGTGTGTTATAACGTTGTGTTATCACAGTGTGTTATAATGTTGTGTTATCACAGTGTGTTATAACATTGTGTTATTGCAGTGTGTTATTACGTTGTGTTATGTGTCATAACGTGTTATAACTCTGTGTTATAACTCTGTGTTATAACGTTGTGTCATAATGTTGTGTTATCACAGTGTGTAGACTCAGTGTGTGTCTGTGTTGTTCTGTAGTTACAACAGTGGGACGTGTGTGGACGGAGACAACTGGTATCGATGTGAATGTGCTGCAGGGTTCACTGGCCCAGACTGCAGGATCAGTGAGTCTTTACCTCCATCCATCCCTTTATCAATCCCTCAACTCATCTGTTCTTTATTTTTCTTTACCTTTCTGCCTCAGTGCCTTTGAGCCAGGCTTAAACCCGTGTTGACCTGGGTCAGGGTGCATTGGATTTGGACATGCACACACAGAGGATGGCAGAAAGTCACTTGCGTCTCTGGAAATTTCGTACTGCTAGCCTAGCCTAGCCTCATTAATAAAAAACCTTGTATTCATCTACTGCACTTCTGTCCGTCCTGGGAGACGATCCTCACACGTGTCTCTCTGAGGTTTAATTTAGTTGTTGAGGGTTAAGAACAGATGATGTCACACACAGATCTATGAGACAAACTTTGATTTGTGAATTTGGGCTATACAAATCAATTTGATTGATTGATAGAAAGCAGTGATGGACATTTTCAAATCTAAACTTTTAAACGATGAATCATTTGACTCAGATTCACCTGTTTTTATTTTGGTGAGATCAACAACAGGTTCTCCAACTTCCTAAACATTCTCTTACACTTCAAACAACAAGTCACAACTCGTCTCTTTCAGACGTCAACGAGTGCCAGTCGTCGCCCTGCGGCCTCGGCTCTGCCTGTGTGGATGAAATCAACGGTTACAGCTGCATTTGTCCACCAGGGCGCAGCGGTCCCCGCTGCCAGGAGGGTACGACCTCTGCTCTGCACTAACGACAGTTCATTTAGCTTCTGCAGCGATTTATCTGAAGAATAGAAAATCTTTCTGTGACGTTATAACCACCAACGACACTTTAAATTCAATCTGCAACAAATCACTCTCATGAATATATAAACATATCTGATATTATAACTTAAGATATGGATCAGTTATAAAAAAACCTGATATGACGTATGAAACTGTTGAGTCAACAGTTCTCTGACTTCAGATGATGATTTGTTTTTCAGTGTCGGGGGGGTCCTGTGTGGTCGGTGGGCTGGTGGCTCTGGATGGAAGCAGATGGGATGAAGACTGCAACACCTGCCGCTGCCACAAGGGGAGAATCACCTGCTCTGAGGTAATGTTGAGATTGAGGGTTTTTGAGTCTGCGTTTTTAAACCTAACAGTCCCATGAGTTTTATTTTTTGATTCTATTGGTTCTGTAAATCATCAGTGGGAGATAAAATGATTGATGAAGATTTTTTCATTTCCTCCCACTTCTTGGAAGAATAAAAATAAAACACTGGCTCCATCCGATTGTGAGAAGCTTCAAGAACAAGGATTTCATCTTCTGATGGAGGAGCTAACAAATTATCCCGACCGCCTCCAAGTCTGCTTGAGGACGCAGGTGGTTGAGTTTGAGTCGAAACCAGAGACCAAACTTTAAAAAGAAGAAAACAAATTTCTGTAAACACGTCAGACAAATCTCTGGAAGGAAAAATGCAGCAAATCAAACCTGTTGTGTCAACTTGACGTTGTGTAAATGTGATTGACACAATGTGGGGTCATATTTATTCTGAATCGTGCTGTAGTGTAGAATCACGTCATATCAAACGGTGCAGAGAGAAAATCTGTTACAGACGACACTCGCTACATTAACTATGATGTGAAATCCAAAGCTGGTTATGGCAACTCTCTCACTGGACGCTCCATTGTCGGTTAATGCATCAAACCTGCCCCATTTTAGACAAACAGCTGCGATTGGCCCGGTTTACATGTTTACTTTTACACATTCGTGCCAACTTTATCGTTGTCCTAACTCTATATTTACCACATTCAAAAGTCACTCTCTCGTATTCTGATTATTGAATAATTATATTAATTATTGGAGTTTGCCGACTTTTGTCTCAAGCAGCTTTGGTGCGGACCGGGATTTTGTAGCCTCCAGACTCACAGCTCTGAGTGTCCGGCCGATCAGACCTGCATCGCCATCCGGGACGAGCGCTGCTTTGTCAAGCCCTGCCACAGCCAGGGGGAGTGCTGGAGCCCCGCCCACTGGGCCCTGCCCACAGCCAGGTGTCGCCCAGAGGGCAGCTGCACCAACATCACCTTCTCCTTCAACAAGGACGTCATGGCAAAGGTCAGTCAGGTCAGTCGATGAACCCCATCATGCTGCGGTGGGCAGCTAACGTTTGATACCTTCATGTGACATGTGACTTGCTCATGGTATTTCTCTGGTGGGTCTTCCACAGGGTGTGACGGTGGAGCGGGTTTGCCGAGAGCTCAGGACCCTCTACGTTGTCCAGAACCTATCATCTGACTCCTCCATCTCTATGACCTGTGAGCCCTCGCTCAGCAACAGCAACGAGATCCATGTTGCCATCGTAAGTCCCGACCCCCCCGTCTGAAACTGATTGAAATGATCGAAATTAGTTAGATTTCCACTTATAGCCCAGACTCTTTACTACAATTGATTCATAACAATAGATAAAACCCACAAACAGCTCTTTGCAGTTTGGATCAATGAGAGAGAAACTACATCAGGACCAAGAGAAGAAATAAAATTAGATTTTAATTTCAAGGATCATGTGCTAGGTTTCACAAAAACAGACTTTACATTTGAAGAACATTTCCAAAGTGAGGCCATTTCTCTCCTGTCTGGTTCATTTGAATGAATTCAGCCTCCTGCTGCAGAAGTGCTGAATAAGACCAAAGAGAATATTATACTGAAGTCCCCACACTGTTGCCTCACGTATAGATTATAAAATCGTTTAACTGGTTTACATGGCCTTTCACCTGACTGGTTGGTTGATGAACCACACCCCTCAGATCCTCTGGTTCTTCTCTTTTAGTGTTTTATAATTTCTA